ATTTCTACGTCGAGATTCTATCTATTCTATTTTACACATTACGTTAAACTTACATTCTATAAAAATAGCAAGAAATGAAAAACTTTTTGACCCGCTACAAAAATGCAACTTTTTCCTTTTTCTTTTCTATGTATATAAAGAAATAAAACTTCTGCGTTACAGATATAGGGATATAGGTGGCTCGATAAATATTAATGGACAATTGCGAAATATGCGCGAATTCAAAAAAATATCGTGTTATATCATGCAAAACGATCTCATACAACCGAATCTCACGGTTTTCGAGGCAATGTCCTTCGCCGCCGATTTAAAGCTTGGTAGAAGAAAATCGAAATCTCAAAAGTGCGCTATTGTAAGTAAACACCTCAGGCTTTTACTATAATAATAACATATTATACAGCGTATACCGAAAAATGAATTAAAATTGATGTAAGATCGAAGAGCTTTGAATCATAAATTAAGAAAAAAATTAATGTAATGTGAAATTACATCTTATTGTAAAGCAGTAAATGATAAGAAGTTTTCCGGTGTACCATAAAAACATGAAATTTTCTTTTTCTGTACAGCAATAAAATGATTTAAAATTTGAAAACTACACTGAAAAGAAATATAGTCAATTTTAATAAATATTTAGTTGAATATTGTCAACTAAATATTTATTAAATATAAAGATATATTTATTTGATATAAGAAATGTTAATTTGATTTAACAATCATTTTTTTTATTATAACAAATATTTACTTACTGTAAGTAAATGTTGAGTTAGCAGTATTGAATTAAATTTATTAAAATTAACTATATTTTTTTCTCAGTGTAGAAATATGCACAACGACGAATCGATCAATTTTTCAGAAACAAATTTCTTTCTCTAAATTTCTTTAAAGATCTATCGATTAAATGTTCATCAATAATTTAATTGTATATAATTGAGTTGTATAAAATTAAATACATCAGCTGTTTTTTTTATGCAAATTAAATCATATAATAATCATATTTCTCTCGTTTTTCTATGATGAAGATTTTTACTTCCATATGATATTGCTCATAATCTAGTTTCAATAATTTGTTTATAATTGTTTAACAAATTTATCTTAAATGTCTAGTAAGAATTTTTCTTATTAGAGAAAAATGCGTCAGCGTAATATTTTAACTATATTACATTAAACGTAACAATATTATATTAAACGTTTTCTAAGTAAAACATTTAAATATAATTGCGATTAAAAAAAGAGACAAAAAATTTTCAACAAATTATATGTGGATGAATAATCACGATATTTGATTATTTATAAATTTTAAATCTTTTTTTGCATTTATATGTAAAATTGCAATTGACACTTCAATATTTAACATTTTTCACGTGAGATCGAGTGGCCATTAAATAAAATTCTTTCTTGTTACGGGCATCACATGTAAAATAAATCATAAAGACACACTTCGCAAAATCTTAATAACTGATTTCAGATAGATGAGATTCTAAGAACACTTAGATTAATCGGAACGCGAGATACACTCACAAATAGACTCTCTGGCGGTGAAAAAAAAAGGCTAACAATTGCACTTGAGTTCGTAAATAATCCTCCTGTTATTTTCCTTGATGAACCGACCACGTAAGTATCGCTCCGATTAAAATTGATTATCTTTATCTCTTTTAATTAAATATACTTCAATTCAATTATTTTTCATAAAAGGAATTGTTGTACGTATAATATACTTCAGAATGTAAGTAAAGAAGGTAATTTCGAGATTGAGTTTTCCACATCAAGACATGAAGTTTATATGAACATATATATGTGTCTGCAAATTGTTAGATAGAATTTAAAATATTTAAATATTATATAGGCTGTGTCAGACTTAACGCACCATCTATTAATGGTAGATTTCTAAAGTTAATTTGAGACTAAAATGCTAATATTAAAATATGTCGAAGCTATAATAGTTTTTGAATTAGAATGATTTAAAAACTGATAAATTACCTTCTAAAATTTGCGGTTCAATGCAAAGTGTTAAAAAGTAAAAGCTAATAGTTATCTTTTATTAATATCGATATAAATATTAGGAGAAAATAAAATTATCGATATTCCCAATTCTTGATATTATATTAAAAAAATATCTAGCTTGGACATTAAGATATTTTCGTCTTAAAATGACTTCAGAAATCTGCCATTAGCAGATGGTGCGTTAAGATTCTTAAAACATTCTGTATATGGACTCCATGATTCCTCGATCTAAATCCTCTAGATTTTTATCTATGAGAATACTAAAGTCCGTAGTTTATGAAATTCCATCGAATCGAAGAAAGTTAATGGAGATATGCTACGCCATCTTGGATGCTTATCATATCATTCGCAATCATTATTTGCCCCAGTATCTTTATATTGTATTTTTGAAAGAATGCGGCAGTTTTCATGATCCGACGTATCCAAGCGTGTATTGAATTAAATGAAAGACACTTCGAACATTTGTTATAATTAAAAAATAAAAATAAATAATATTAAATAATAATAAATATTACTTTTTTATTTTCCCTTATTAATAAAGGCTATAAAACATTTTGAGATGTATTTTAGTAAATGAGTATTTCAATAGTGAGTTTGCGGACATATATACAAGGGTCGTTTGAAAAGTTCTGAGCCTCAATATAAAAATGGCATTACTTAAAACTCATTCTGATACTATAATCGCTCATTACGATTTTATTTTGCAAGATACTTGTGAAAATTGTAGCCAATGTGGACGCTCAGTTGTTTGATAGTCATTTGTGCCAATCAGTGTTTTCGTAAAAATAAAAAAAATTGAATATCGATAATCGCCATAACAAAAATTTATGAATTGCGGTTCGAATCAATTAATTATCCACCATATTCATTAGATCTGATCCTTAAAGCGAGCTTTTTCTGTTTTTTAGGCTGAAAGTTAGGTCACAGATTTTCATCAAACGAAAACACTAACATCGACTGGCACAAATGACTCTCAAACAACAACTGAGCGTTCAAAATGGTTAAAATTTTCACAGGTATCTCGCAAAACATATACGATTGTAGTATTAGAATGGGTTTTGATGAGTAATGTCATTTTCATGTTGAGGATCAGAACTTTTCAAACGATCTTGTATTCATATGAACTTTTTTTCATCTTTTAATGTAGGAAATAATTAAAATAAAGTAATAAACTTTAGTTTGAAGTTCAGCCTTGAAGTTTATTACCTTATTTTAATTACACTCTGTATATACAATATATATATATATATATATATACATA